TAATTCTTCTGTGTCTTCCAATTCCTTTCGATTCAGTGACTCAGTATATTCTTTCCATCTTCTTTTAATACTTCCTGGATCATTTAACATTCTGCCGAAATATGCATTTACATGTGGTAATTTGGGGACTGTATTAGGAATATGAACTTATATGTGGTAATTTTGGGAGACAGAGGCTAGATCATATTGGAAACAGACTGTGAAGTGAATGGGATTACTGCAAAGTGAATTCACACTGCACTATGAAGATGAGGTTGCAGAGGAACCTGCTCAGGCATTAAAGGCATCTCCTCAGACTGTAAGAAAATGGGAAGATGTGGGAGAAAACTAGACTCATATTTTATAGCTAACAAAAACCAAACTCCAAATGATGGAACTTAAAAACTCCTTATTCTAACTCCTTAAATATATGTCCGCTGCTTCACCATTTGGGCTTCACTTTACAGATTCACACTATCCCTCCTGCAAATAGTTTCTCACTTTTGAATAAACCTCTTTATTTTTTACTAACAAAAAAACCAAAAACAAACCCACTACTGAGAAGACATTGTCTCATCTTTTCACATGGAGATGCTGAGGTTCAAACTGATAATTTTTCAGTTAGTAGCTCAATATTAACCTACTACCTCCAAGTGCTAGTATAAACCAAAAGTATTAAACTCTATCCCAGACTATATCCCAATGCTTTGAATACTGAAATCAACAAGTTCATTCCAGATCCTCTACAGTTAAAAAAACTTAAGTTCACAGCTTATACAGAAATACAAGCTGGGTTTAGAAGAGGCCATGCAGTAGGGCCATCAGTGCCAATGTCACATGGACCTTGGCTGAAAGCAGAGAGTACCAGAGGAATGTCTGTGCTTCATTGATTATACAAAGGAATTTGACTGTGTGGATCATAACAAATTGTGGCTAACATTGAGAAGAATGGGAATCCCAGAACACCAATAGTTCGACCAGGAGGCAGTTGTCAGAACACAGCAATAAAAGATTACATGGTTCAAAATTAGAAAAGAAGTGTGTCAGGGATGTGTCCTGTCTCTATACCCTTTCAATCTGCATGCAGAATAAATCATTCGAGAGGTTGGACTTTATTAGGAGGAATGTTGCATCAGGAGTGGAGGAAGACTCATCAACAACCTGCATTAAGCAGATGACACAATCTTAGTTGCTGAAACTGAGGAGGGCCTGAAGCATTTGCTGCAGAGGGTCAAGGATTG